ATAAAAATATTAACTATATTATATTTTATATAATAATATTAAGTATGTGTTCGATGCCAGTGCTCAAATATATAGAATCAAAAGGCACCATGAGCTTCAGCATTTTTATTTAAAGGGCATTTGCTGCTTGTTTATTTTGCTTGATTTTTCTCTCACACATTTAGTATTTATAAAACCATGTATAGTTACAATACAGTATTTTTTCTGAATAAACACAAATTATTTTGTTACTGTTTACTGGCTTTTATGTGCAAAAGGTTATGCAGCTCATGATTCATTTACACTTGAACTCCAAATACAGTATGAATGTTCTGTACTGGCAGGCTCACACGAAGTTAATCCAATGGACTTCTTCAGGATCAACAGTGTTGTAGGTTGTAGGTTCAAATCTCAGACAAAATTGCTAGCCCAGCAGTTAGCCGTTTCTTATATCCTTGAGCGAGGTACTTCGCCCAGAATAATCCAGTAAAATACCCAGCTGTTTCCATGGTTGCAAATGTAAACCACCTTGGGTGAAACGATCAGCCAAATGCATTAGTAATGATAGTTAAGAACGGGAAGCACTTCTTTACACACAGGGTTGTGGGAGTATGGAACAAGCTGCGCTGCCATGTTGTTGTTGTTGTTGTTGTTGAAGCTCGTACCCCGGCTTCTTTCTTCAAGAATGAGCTCTTTGGATGAATTAGCTACTGGGAGAAAAAAAACCAAGCTAGAAGTGCCTGGTGGACTGTTCTCATTTTCTTCTGAAAAATGTGTGCCTAGATACTGTACACACACATATGTATACACACCCAGGGGCTCTCCTTCTAAGTTTAAATGTGGTATGTAACATTCCATGGAGGAGCATATAGCTGTAATGTTTTGGCGTCATCATGTATGCACACAGCACTGCTGTGTGGTGCAATGCTAACCACAAACATGTAAGAGAAGGGGTGTAACAAAACGCATAATTTGAAAAGATGTAAACTGAACTGGAAAAAACAAATGTTTTGTGTTACTCTCCTCGTTTACAGGGTTCCATGATGGATCCAATATGATGTTTTGTTTCCATTCCAGTTCACAGGATAGAGGACCATGAGACCTTTCACAACAAGCACCCAAAATAAATTTGGCAGTCTTTTTGAGGCATTGTTGCTACAATATTAAACTAAAGTGTGTGGTCATTTATAAATGCAAAAACAGACTTTATTGCAAGTTTCATGCGAGCTAAGGCCATCTTATAAGACGCTGCATATTTATCCTGGAATTCATTGGATGGATTCATGTGACAAAGGACCACTTACAGAAAAATGGATGTAAATGACTAGTGTGGCTCGTTTGAACCCACTTAATTGGTTGATGGTCCTAGAATGTTTAGAGTCTTATTATTGATGAGGTGGGGTCAAACCCCCCTAAAGATGGCATTGCTCTTTTCCATTAATTTTTGTTTATTAAAATGTCCTTCACTATAAATACAAACTTCAATGGAGACTAGTGGTGTCATAATCTCTTTCTCTCTGACGTAGATTAAATGAAGCTGGTCTGGTTGGGCACCTGTCTTAAACATGAGGAGAGTCCTTTCAAAGGGTGATGTCTGATAAAGTGCATTTGCTGAAGCTGTTGTTAAGCATCCGGGCCTCACTTCAAGAGCAGATTTATGGTCTACTTAATGTTTGGTGTGGAACTTGCTTTTTTTTTCAGAAACCAAGTGATCAAAGTCTTAAAAGGGGTTATGGTCAAATTTTTTTTTCTTGTTTTAAAACATAAATACAGTAGGTCATGTGCATATTAAATTTGGTGATCTTATACCAAATAAACTTAAACTTATTTAATAATAAACTTAGTTTTAGTATATAATCATGTCAGTTAATAGAGAATTATTTTTTCCATGGCTGCAATGATTTTTGATCTTTGTGATCTAAATTATAAGCATACTGTACAGAAAATACATACATGCTCACACACAGGGGACACCTGAGTATCAAAAATGTGGTTTGCAAAAGATTTCCATTTCTCTGACTTTATATACTGTAGTGATGTGTGTTTAGAATTGGAAATTAAAGCATTTTTATTGTAATTAAATCAAATAAAGCAATGGAACGTTAAGCAGCTGTTAGCAGTTTGCATCAGCTGTTTCAGAATTCCCAGTATTATTACTTAAGTCTTACATAAGTCGTTTTGTTTGTGTGTTTTTGATGAAAAATATTTCAAATGCTCAGTGCTGTTTACATGGTTTTATTTCGTCTGTTATTATTAAATTTTATAAACCAAAAATCTTTTTTTGTTGTTGCATGCAAACATATACAACTGCTGTTCTCAAGCTTGAGGCTTAAATTTCTGGTTATGGTAAGGAAAATGAATTTGTTGTAGGCCTAAAGGATGTTTACTCGTTTTGTTTTGTTTTTTTTTGTCTGATGTTACATGGTGCCCTATGACTTCATAATTGTGCCTGAGATTTTTTTAATCCTGTGAGAACAAAGCATAATGTTTTCTCCTCACATTCTGTAGCTCAAACACACTTTGAATGTTATAATAATGTGCCTGTATGCTGTATAGGGCCCCCAGTACTAGCCCGTCACAACCCAGTTTTTAGACAGTTCAAAGACTTACTCAAAGTTAAAATTTGCTCTGAAGGTTTTGCACTCGGTAGACAAACTGACATGGTGGTAAGCGTTAATAGCTCACAAAGTTTCTTGGTTTTGATTTGAGGCCTGGGATGTCTTCTGTGGTTGCATGTTCTTCCTATGTCTGTGTTGATTTTCTTCAAGCACTCCGATTTCTTCCCATAGATCAGGGACATGCTGTCCTGGACAAGTGACATCTCTAAATTGCCCCTCCACTTGCATGTTTGAAAGATTGTGTGGGTGCCCTGTGATGGCCTGACCTCCTGTCCAGGGTGTAGTTCTGACTCGTGCTCTGTGCGTGACAGATCAGGCTCCACTTCACCATGACTACCTTAGGATAAAGTGGTTACGAAGAGATGGGTGGATGCATTTCCATTTCCACTTCTGCATGCAAAATATCTTGATCAAAAATGTATTATGATTTTAGAATGATTTAAAGGGCATATGTTCCTGTCAACATAAAAACCTGGAATCCTGCAATATGATTTACGCTTTGCACGAGCAAGACATGCCACGCTCATAAATCAAACACGTTATTTAAAAGTAGAATAAAAACACTTTGCATGGGCTCCTTTTCTAAGTTAGAGGGAAACTCAGAAGATAGACAGGTTTGTGATTAATTTATTGGTGATATTTAATGGAATTTCAAAGGCAAAAAAATATATATATATAAATTTGCGTTGAGAAAGATATGAAACAGTCATTTGTTTCTTTAG